GAACTACCTGATAGGGAATTCAAATCTCTAATATTCAGAGCTATCCAAGAGTTGAAGCAAAAAGCAGACAAAAATGAGGAAAAAATAGACAAATTCATGGAAAAGGCAGACAAATTCATGGAAAATACAGAGAAAACAATGGAACTCAGGAAATTAACACAGGAACACAATGCTAAAATAAATTCACAACTAGAAATCATACAAAAACAACAATTAGAAATCCAAAAGATAAACAACAAGATTTCAGAAACTGACAGTGTCACAGAAGGTATGAGGAGCAGGTTTGAAACAATGGAAGACAGGAACAGCAAAATTGAAGCCAAATACTTGGATACAACTTAGAGGAAAAATCAGAAAAAAGAACGAAGATAAATAAAGCAGCCCTGAGGATGATGTGGGATACAATCAAAAGCAAAAATCTGTGAATGATCGGAGTTCCATCACAGGGGGAGAAAATGGAAAACACAGAGAGGATTATTGAAGCAATGCTGACATAAAACTTCCCTAATATCATGAAAGATGAAAAGTTGACCATCCAAGAAGCTCAACAAACACCACATAGGGTAGACCCCAAAAGAAAATCACCAAGGCATATCATAATCACACTGGCTAAAACCAAAGACAAAGAAAGAAACCTGAGAGGAGCTCGAGAAAAAAGAAAAGTCATACACAGAGCGGAAAATAAGAGTAAGCTCTGATTACTGGGCAGAAACCAAGCAGGCAAGAAGGCAATGGGATGGATGACATATATAAAACCTTGAAAGAAAAAAACTGCCAACCAAGAATAATATATTGCTCAAATATGATGGTGAAATTAAGACATTTCTGGATAAACAGAAATTAAGGGAATATGTAAAACCAAATCAAACTTACAAGAATTATTAAAGGGAGTCCTTCGGCTTGAGAACAAACATCAGATGACAACCTGAATCTAAGACCCAAGATCACACCAGCCACCTATGAAATGAACTCTCAAGGACTATTCAAAACCAAAAGAGTTACAACAGGGAACCAAAGACGTTAATCTGTAAATGACAACGTTAGAACAATAAAATGGAATAAACAGTGTAGGTACAGAACTTTCTAATGGAGAGGAAGGCTAGGCGATACCAAGTAATAATAGACTGGTTCAACCTAGGAAGATAAGGGTAAATTTCAAGAAAACCACAAAGAAAGTTAACAAACCTACTCATCAAAATAAAGAAGAAAAACATAAAGTCTCAGTAAAAACAAATTCTACAAAAACAAAAGAAAAAAAAAATTCACAAACAAAAGGAATTCAGCACAGCACAGTTAAGAAGAACAAGAAAATGTCAGCACCAAAAAAAGAAAAAAAAAAGCACTATAAAATGAAAGAAGTAAACTCACATCTATCATTAATTACACTGAACGTAAACGGCCTAAATGCACCCGTAAAGAGACAGAGAGTGACAGAATGGATTAAAAAAAACAGGATCCATCAATATGCTGTCTACAAGAGACACCCCTTAGAAACAAAGACATAAATTTATTAAAAATCAAAGGATGGAAAAAAATATATCAAGCAAACAGCTACCAAAAAAACAGCAGGAGTGACAATACTAACCTCAGATAAAAAAGACTTTAAAACAAAATCCACCACAGAGTCAAAGAAGGGCACTATATAATGATTAAAGGGATGATCCATCATGAAGACATAACCAAGATAAATATCTATGCACCCAATGACAGGGCTTCAAAATACATAAACTCCAACAGCACTGAAAAGAGAAATTGAAAATTAATAGTAGGAGACTTCAACAAACTACTCTTGGTAAAGGACAGAACATCTAGAAAGAAACTGACAAAGACACAGAGGATCTAAAGGATACAATCAGCCAACTTGAACTCACAGATATATATAGAACACTCCACCCAACAGCTGCAAAGTACACATTCTTTTCTAACTGCACACAAAACATACTCCAAAATAGATCACATCTTAGGCCACAAAGCAACCCTCAACAAAATCCAAAACACTGAGATAATACAAAGTAACTTCTCTGACCACAACACCATCAAAGTAGAAATTAACAAGGGGAAGAGCAAGGAAAAAAAATCAATTACATGGAAACTGAACAACACTCTGCTTAAAAACCACTGGGTAACAGAAGAAATCAGAGATGGAATAAAAAAATTCCAGAATCAAATGAAATGAAAACACATCATACCAAAACCTTTGGGACACAGAAAAGGCAGAACTCAGAAGTCGACTGATAGCAATAGATGCACGCATCAAAAAAGAAAGGGGCAAAATCAAAACACTAGTTACACACTTCAAACAAATAGAGAACAGCAAAAGAAGCCCACAGCCACCAGAAGAAAGGAAACAATAAAGATCAGAACAGAAACAAATGAAGTAGAGAATAGAAAAACAATAGAAAGAATCAAGAAAACCAAGTTGGTTCTTTGAAAGGATCAAGAAAATCGACAAACCACTGGCCAAACTGACAAAAAAAAACAGGAGAGGACGCAAATAATTCAAATAAGAAATGACATGGGGGACATTACAACAGACCTAACTGAAACAAAAAGGATCACCAGAGTACTATGAAAAACTGTACTCCAACAAATTTGAAAACCTAGAAGAAATCGACAAATTTATAGACACATACCTAAAACCTAAACTAACACAAAATGATGTTGAAATTCTGAACAGCATCATAACAAGAGAAGACATTGAAAAGGTAATAAAAAAAAAAAACTCCCAACAAAAAAAAAAACCCTAGCCCAGATGGCTTCACTGGAAAATTCTACCAAATATTCAAGAAGAGCTTACACCAGTACTACTCAAACTATTTCAGAACATAGAAAAAGAAAAGGATACTTTCATTCCATGAAGCCAATATAACCCTGATACCAAAACCAAGCAAAGACATCACAAAAAAAGAAAATTACAGACCAATATCTCTCACGAATATAGATGCAAACATTCTCGACAAAATTCTACCCAACAGAATT